CGAAAGCGTTGTCGTAACTTGAAATTGCTCGTGACTGCGTCGTTTTGCACAAAGGCGTGTTTCCTTGGCCTGAAAAATCCAACCCGCGCCATCAAGTAATAAACATCAGTTGAGCAATGTTTCGAGATGACTTTCCTCCTCTTCGCTTTAGTATTTTTCTCATCTGTAATTTAATTACAGAAAACTCAGTTGCGCCGAGGAATAAATTAGAAAAGCTAATTAATATTAATAATTTCCGGGAACAGCAAATGTTCTACGTTTGGAAATACATAAGAGAACATCCAAACTTTGATAATAATTATTTTAAGAACTTTAACTATAAATCGTTTCTGCAAGAGGAACGATTTAATAATAAACGATCGCGAAAGCTTCTCTTTGCACTTTAATTCTCGATATCTATATTAGAAAAAGCCAATCTGATAAACTCATTGACGATTGCAACAAGCGTCGATTAATCAATGTTGCGAGATAGTTTTCTCCATCCTTTTTTTTTTGCTTCGGTATTGATTTGTCTCATCTGTAAATAGATCAGTTATATATATTGCAAAACAAAACGCGAAGTAGAAAGACGCGAAAAGCATTTTACCTCTTTCATAAATCATGAAAATTATTAATTTCTAGAGAAGAAAAAATTAATTATTTTTCAAATACTATATGTACATATAATGACTTTTAAATATAATAATAATCAATATAATTCATAACGCGGTTATGTAATATTCCACAATAGGCATCGCCGCACGCAATATTGATCGAGCATAGGGATCTCTTGAGGAAACACGCCCTAAGAGCTGACACCGCGAACGTAATTTCCTTTCGCTCGTTCGCCGCGAAATTCTCGCTTGTCGGCCGCCCTCGCTGTCGGGCAGATGAAAGGAAGATACCCGCTGCGACGAGATGAGAAGAGAGACAGAGGGAGAGATTTACTGCGCGACTACTACGCTCTTCGGCCCTTTTGGAGTAAATGGACACTTGTCCGAGAGCGACGTAAGCTCGCTCACCGAGGATGGAAAGGAGTACTTGCTTGCCGCGAAGACGTCGGTTTATCGCAATGGGGATGGTGGGGCGAGCGGACGGGAGCAGGGATAAAAGGGGCAGGAGAGGGATAAAAGGAGGACGATTAAAATAGAAATAAGTGCTCCACTTTGTGGACGTTAAGATTTATAAAGCTTCCCGCGGTTTTCCTTCTACCGTTTTCTCGGCAGAACGCGAAAAATCGCCTCAAATCTTCTTCGGCGATTGTGTGCCGAGGGAATTTTCTAATGAGAAGATTGTGGAAGTGTGTATTTTCGTAGCACTTTCTGCTACGAAACTCGTATCCCGCTGTTGTCGTATCTGGTACGCTGCACTTGGCGCGCATTGCACTGAGCAAATATTTAATTCCATATTTATTTAACGACACATATACCATTATCAAAAATATACTGAAATGTTTGTTTATTTATGTGTTTCGCCCGTTTCTATCATCGTCGCAAGAGATATATATATATATATATATATATTATTTTTTTATATCCGAAAATGCGCAACGGATGCATTTAAAAAAATCGGCTTTTTACCATCATAAACGGGCACTCTATAACTGTTACGCATTTATGAGATAGAAATGGCTGTACCATTGATTTCATCGTTTACATCGTTCATTCACAAATTAATTACACCGAATTCGGGTCGAATCCAGTCGCTATCTCACGTTACGTTCGCATCGGCAGAGGATTGTTAAGTTCATCATTATTCTGATTAATTTTGCATTACACTTCACGAATTCGCGTGCCGTTTATTTCGCACGCGTTACATCATACAGATCGTTTATATTTCGTTCTAGCCGCGGAAATCAAATCGCAGCAATTACATGGCTGAAGAGTACGTTACAAAAACACGACCCGTCTATTCCAGAGCGCACTGAAATAACATTTCGCAATAGATATAAAATAACCCACCGCGCAAGATCCGAAAGATACATATTTAACGGGAAAAAAATATCCCCTTGTCAATTTTTCCCGCACGTCAAATTCCTCAGTTATTCAACGCGTTTATCGGCCCCGATTAATAACGAAGCGGAACAGAGAAAGTCACTGCGACGATATCCGATTCTTCTTGAAAAATCGCCCCTATGACGAGAGGGATATTTCATTCGGACCCGACGTAATTCGATCCGGCGCGTTATACGGAAAAAAAAAGGAACATGGTCCATCGCGCTTGTTATACGTCCAGTGACATCGTTGCGAAGTGGCCATACGGTTATCGCGATAACAGAGAACGGCGATGATGGTCGCGGTGGCCGGCGTGATGCTGTGTACTTAATCAATATTGTTGATGTTGAACGGGAGGTAAAATTCATCCGCCGCATTTTCCATCGGCGGTGTGTTGTCTTATATCGGGTATCGGGCAAGTGACACGTTAAGCCGCGCCGGGCGCGTAAAAGAATAAATAAAGCGAGGAAATCGATGCGCCGATGGCTGCCGCTGCGACGATGAAAACGAGGGCGATGATCGAGGACGAGGGCGAGGTCGTCGCCATCGGACGGACGGATCGCTTCTACGCTGTGCGGCTGGAAGATATCGTTTACCGACGCGCGATCGGGTATATTAAGTGAATTAACGTCAGATCGAAGCCCGCCGGTAAACATTTGTCGAACGTATATCGAGCACGTCCGTGCGCGCGCGTACGGATTGAACCGCCGCGCGCGATCCTTAACGTTCGTCCGAGCGCGGCACGTACGTGCCGATATTTTTGTTGTAAAATATACAGCAATAAGTAATTTAATCTATGACGAATAAATGAAATTAGTTTCATGTATGGTATTTAATTTGCCCGGCGGCCTGATGTAATGCTGCAAATAATGCTGAAAAAATAACCGATGAAAAGGGGAGCCTGGTGTCGTTGCGCACACGATAATTGATTACATGTAATACGCGTATACGCGTATATGTTTCGCAAATGGATATCGAATTTTCACGAGAATCCCATTCGAAAGATCCGCCCGTAACAAGAAAGTGTATTCGATGTCTTTTGTCGAATGGAAGAACGTATCGGGATAACGTCATTAATTCGCGCCGACTCTCCTCTCAACCGCGCGCTTGTAAACACGATTGCGCACTTTTATCGCATGTTTTAGCGGCGACGTCTCACTCAATTACGATACCGAAAGAACCGGCACCCTACAGCGCGAAGGAGAAACTCGGGGACTCGAGATAGCGTAAATCCACCCCGTCGAAAGGGGAAGATAAAACCGGGAACGAAAGTTAAACGCTGCCGAGCGAGTAATAAAAGTAATGAAAACTATCTGATTGAAACAAGATATCGGCCCTCTCGCGTGGAAGATGGCGTGCAATGTGGCGGTGAGTGACCCTCAAGATTAAATCCCTGGGTCGAGAGTCGCTCGTAAAGTGTCTTATTTTTAAAACAATCTAGGACGGCGGTTTGCAGGAGTGGCAATAATGATAATATGACACGGAATGGAAAATCCTCTCGACCCGCGTCATCGTTTCGTCAATAATTCCCTTAATCGCGTCGCGCGCATTAAAACTTGGTCGTTTAAGCACGAGCAGTTCCGGTCGCATCGAAAGGAATATATTAATGCGGTACAATATTACGCTCTCGGGAATTTCTTGCGGGCAGGCGCAACTTGTCCTCTTAATAAATTCATATAAGAGCCTCATCGTTTTTAATTTGCCGCGCTGACGTAGAACGCCGGAGGATCGCTCACAGCATCCTGGGCGCTCTTAATACGAAGTGACAGCGAGAACGAATCTGGGACGCAACAGCCAATTTCATTTCCATCTCGTCCGAGTGAAGTGAGAAGCGCGGAGAGGAAAGGGCGAGGCCTCCCCGTCGCTTTCACACCGTTTACACGTCCGCTGAGCGGAAAGTTCGTAAGAAAGCTTCGCGAGCCGTATTAATGAGGAGTCGGAGGCTCGTTCGTTCTAGGGTCGGGGATAAAATAAAACGCGATGGAGGCGTAATTAGCCAGGCCGAGTCCTCTCTCGATCCGGAGATTCTCTTGCGACGCCCGGCCGAAGCGAGAAAAGCCGATATCCGAGAGCGGCCAATAATTCACGGGCCATTCCTTATTCAAATTCGCGCCAAAGTCCCGGTTTATATCACCGATATCCGTAGTAAGTGTACACTTCCTGCAGTTAAACGGAAAAATGCGCAAGAAAGTGCACTCGGGAACAATACAAGGACCATCAAACGAAAACACTTGTACAGCGATTTACTCTGTGTTCTTTTCGATGACTGGCAAAGCAGCAATTTCAATTTCTTAAGAGTGCTTTTAAACAAAATATCTCAACATCTTTTTTTTATTACAAAAACAAACTTTATTTAAAGATAATAAAAGATGATGATTTTAAAAATCGATCGTAATAAACGTAAAGTTAAAAGTCTTTCGTAATTATCTTTTTTTTAGTTTAAACTATAAATATTCATTGCATATCATAAATTATATAAACGTAATTAACAGCAAAATCATAAATTACAGAATTTATGGAATATATAGGATGTTTCAGACTAACCATATCACCCGTTAATACACACGCGCGGAAAAAATTTTATATCAAAAATTATTATGTACGCCGGTAGCCGCGGACCATGAAGAAATTATAAAAATTTTTACTATATTTTTTACATAATGACTATAGTAGCTAAACTCATAATCCCTTTTATAGTATCATACTAATTATTGATATAACATTTTCTCTGCGTAGTAGATTTCTCAGGTTATTTAGAAACATCGAAAATCTTTATACCAAAATGTCGATAGTTTCTAAATGAGAAATATTTAAAGTGTGCCAATCTCTTAGATTGTCAAAAATTCATGTGCTCAGGCACGTCTCATATTGATTTTTATATGAGATTTTTATATGAGAACTATATATACCTACCATATAAAATATCTAAGAAATCTGCTATTAATAAGATTTATCTTATATATTTCACATTATTTTCCAATCTATTCTTTCAATAATATTAAAATAAAACAAATTGAATTAACTTACCGGCACGATGCGCAGTAGCGGAGTTATTCACAAGTCGATCTGTAACATACAAATTAAATGTAAATTATAGCAGCACTTAAAATAATTATTTGATAAATTATGCATATTAAATTTTTATTCATCTTTTATCTAAATATTTACTTAAAAAATTATATATTTATCGAGAAAACCATAATTTTAAAAGTAATACGTTAAAAAATCTAATAATCTTAATAATTGAAAATTGCAAATCTTTTACTGAAAGATTTTATTTCAAAGTTTCTATGTGCGTTACATTATATAATATGTTACATACAATATTTTGCCAATAACAGATAACAAATAAATGATTACTTAAGTTGCTCCGTCAGCTCCTAATGCTCTTCCTGAACCTCTTCTTCCTCTCAGTTCTCCTTGTAGTTCTTTAAGACACTTACACACGTTCACAACGCGAATACAAAAATCACACAACATTTATATAAGTGACGCAAGCTCTCTTTTTGTCATATTAGAACAAAAAATAAAATTCGTATGAAAAATTATCACACATTCGACACTCTACCGCGTTCGTAACAAGTAACGATGGAAAGAGTAAAAAATTGAAAACTACGGAAAATAATAAGGAAAATAATAGTAATATTAGAGAAGATAACGTGTCGATACGAAACGATCTGCCTCGTACAAGCTGCCATCGTGCGAATAATAAGAGTGCAATAAACATATTAGAGGAAAAATCGTGCCGATTCCGATTTCGATTATACGCATCTCGTATAGAGCAGAGCATTATCCTCTCCAATAGTACTATCCTTATTATTTTCCGTAGTTTTCGATTTTACCCTTTACATTGTTACTTGTTACGGACGTAGCGAGTGTCGACACGTTATCCAGTCCAATAATACTATCCTTATTATTTTCCGTAGTTTTCGATTTCACTCTTTTCGTCGTTACTTGTTACGAATGTAACAGAGTGTCGAACGTGTCATCCGTGAGATAATATTCGAGTTTTACTTTGTCCAAATGACAAGGTACGCGTCGGGAGTGCCATTTAAAATAAAGTGCGATTTTTGTATTCACTTCGCGAACGCGTGTAAGTGTCTTGAAAAACTGTAAATAGGACTGAGAAAAGAAAGAGACTCAGAAAGAGCATCGAACGCTGACGGAGCAACTTTAGAGCGAGTGATCATTTATTTGCTATCTGTTATTTGCAAAATATTGCACGTAAAATATTATGTAATGTAACGCACGTAGAAACTTTGAAATAAAATCTTTCTGTAAAAAATTTTTGCAATTTTTAACATTTGATTGTTATGCGATTATTATATAATTATTAAATACAAATATACAATCCTTTTATTACACATTTGCATAAAAGATAAATAAAAGTTTAATGTGCGTAATAATTATTTGTCAAATAATTCTAATGGTTTTTAAAATAATTATTTGTCAAATAAGATTTTTCATATGATAAGAATATAAAGATCAATATACCTGAGCGCGTGAAATTTTAACAATCTGAAAGATTGGTCAACTTTAAATACTTCCCATTTAAAAACTATTGCAGCCTCGACATTTTGGTATAAAGATTTTCGTTTTCAGCAATCAAATGACCTCAAATGACCTCAGCAATCTGTTATTAATGAGTGATACGGTTGGTTTAAGCCACCCTATGTAAAATTTTCGAAATTATGTTGATTTTCAATCACATCAAATATTGCAAATAATTCGTCATTGTACATAAATTAAATTAGTTATTAAATAATTAAAAATATATATACTCATTACACATATTTACGGCAGTAATAAATATGTGAAATATTTTCGCTTGTTGATACAAATTTATTTGTCAATATAAATCCGATTAGTTAAATCAACAATATACGCAATACGGTCTCTCTTGACTTTGCGATGTCTCGCAAAATTTATTGACGGGACATTCTGACTTGTTAAAATCACATGCAAAATCGTAGCGTGATGTTTATCGCTGAATTTCTGTCGCTACGTGGATAATAGCCTGTTATAGTTACTCGAGTAAAGTTTATATTTACAAAATATAGCTTTTATTTTTCGAACCGTTCGACAGCGAAATACAATTTCAGCGAACTCCGCCCAACGTTGTTGTTTTGTAAAAACATCACGCACAAAGAAAACCGGATTAACCGGAAAAATATGGAAACATGGTGCGATTAAATTAATGTGTTTGAAAATGTCTGTGTAACACCAAACATGTTTTCCATATGCGGTTATGGCGCTTAACATATAGACTACAAAATAATGTAACCGAGATCATTTCTCATAACTGTCACACTCTCCACATTCTCATTGTAACGGGCGAATGCACTTTTTCGCATTCACTTCGCCCCGACGCAATTAAATATATTATCTATTCTCATTACTGCGCTTGTACGCGCGGTATTTTTTTATTGCATGACGTATCTCTTTCAGTTTGCTCTTCCGCTCTTCCGGTTTTTCACCTCTGCTTTACAAATATCGCAGACGATCCTCTCTATTCAATATCCAAACTTCTGAAAAAGCATCCGACTACGACGGAGTTAAATCTCGGATCGACCGCGCGAGAGATTTGTTCTACCCGCCCCTTCATTAATTCATTCGGGTCTGTCGATTGAGCGGATAAAGTGCCGCGTTAGCGACGTCGCGGAAAAAAACTTCGCGCGTCGCGTCCATGATTCACATTTATTACGCTTTTTGCGCGGTCCTACGGCTCGCCGATAAACCAGCAGTGGCGGCGCGGACGCAATTTTGTTTGCATTCGCGCTCGCGAGATTAATAAGTCACGTTACTCGATTATCGGCCGTCGGGAAAAACACCCGAGGCTTTTAAATAAAAAAAAAGGAAGAGAGAGAGAGAAAAAAAGAAGAAAAAAAAGGTTCAAAAACCGCTGACGCTCGCCGACGGCATTTTGCCACAATCCGGTCACGTTCTGCAACCTTGTGCCGCTCTTTTCCACTATCCCATCAGCCGAGCCTTCTATTTCTTTTTGCGCCGACCAATTTACGAAGCGGCAGATTCGTCGCTGCAATTGCAAGCCCTGCCTCGTCCTGCCCTGCGCTGCGCCGGCTCACATCGGCTCCGCGGAAAAGGCAAGGGAGAGAAAATGTTTTCCGCGAGTCGTAAAAGGGAGAATTAAATATTTAGATAAGACCGCGGCACACATCACGCCGGCTCTTGAGAGAGCGATGGTGCGTGGATTCACGCTACCTCGGTGTCAATAAGAATGTTGTGTGCCCACAAATCTCATATTAAAAAGAGAATATTCCAGAGGGAAAATATTGAAAGCGTATATCCAAGTGAGTTTTACCTTCGCCTCTTCGATTTTCTTATTTCTGAATGTCAGTTTATATTAATAATAGAAAAATCTTTCTCTCATCCGAAATATGTAAATCCGAATATAAATATGTGAATCCTTATTTTCATCCAGGTCAAATATCTATCGAAGCTCTCCCATCTTTAAAGTTGTTGGACCTTGAGAGCCGACGTGATAATTCGTTTGCCTTCTCAGCCTCGTCTAGGGTCTTCTCAGCCAGCGAAACGAGTTTGCGTATTTCGAATTACGCAAAATTTATTTTATTTCGTCGCGCCGTTCTTTCGCTCGCTTTTTTACTCTCGAAAAAGCGCTCGTGTTTATAATCGAATAATTTCACAGCAGAATAAATTATAAAGATAAAGTACGTGATTTTGCTGAAAGTAGACGATGAATTAAAGCATATGAAAAATAGCGTTTGCGGTGAAAATCCCTCATTAATAGCATCGAGGAGACGATATCAACGCGCTCGGTTCTTTGTAATAGATATTTTTCGCTTCAGAAATAATGAGATGTTACAGATCTCCGGCTATCGGAAATTTTTTCTAAGGAAATATTCAGAATTGAAATATACAATAATTTTACATTAAAATACAAAATGTAAAATATGTGTTGCATAATACATGTGACTACATATCTTTCTTGAAAATAAAAAAAAAAAAAAAAAAATAGTCAAAAATGCATAGCAGAAATCACGAGAAAGATACCTGGTAGATCTCTTAAACACGACATACGGTTGAATCCTGTTCGACAAGCGGCCACCTCTTCATCTGATCATAAATAATCTACGGTTGAACCAGAATCGAATGTCAATGCGCAGCACGTAACCGGAGCGCGATTATCGTGAGTCGCGTGGCGTTATGCCCAATCGCTTAAGTGTACGCCGGCCATCAAGGGGACCAAGTACGTAAATTCCTGGTGCGTACACCAGCCGCCACCATTACACGCTAATCCCATTACAGGCGAGTGCGCCAATTATTATCGTATCCACTCGAAATCTGATCGTGTTCGAACGTCTACCTTCTCGCTCTCCCTCTCCGCCCCTCTCTCTTTCGCCGAGAGAGGACCGACGACGGAGCAACGTAATTATACTCTCCATATCGACGATTGAATCGCTAATTGCCATTTCAACAGTCGTAATTTCGTACGGCACTAATTTGCCCGGGAAACGGCAATACGTTTCCTCGGGACGTCAAGGCGGCTTCTACCTGGTATTCGAAAACCTTTTTCCCTCCCTGCCGCTTCGACTACCTCTGACTCGACCCTTTCAGACTTTTTTCTGTTGTGCGCGGCGAGAGATTACGTCGAGGAAGCGCAGGATCTGTCACGGGACGCGGGATAGGACACCCAGTAGTCATTCGCACACTTCCTTTCTTACTATTTCAGCTTTAATTTTGGGTTTCCCGTGATAAATTGTATTTTGTACAATATCAAGATTACACAAAATAAAATTGTTTCGTAAAAAATGTAATAACTATGAGAACAGAAGAATAGGAAAAATAGAGCGGCAAGGAAAATATCTCGTAACTGCAAAACTACGGTAAACGGCACTATGATCGATTTTCCAGAGTAGCACGGTACTCCCGATGGGGAATCCCGAGCGCACATAATTCTACGCGTCCTAATTCGATAGTAATACAAATGGCCGTGCGCAGCGCAATTTAATAATACACAAGTCTATCGGTTTATCGATTTAATCAAGCAACATAACGAAGGGTAAGGTACGAGCGAAGCAATCTGAAA